ATATATATATATAAAATCGTTGGTCAGTGTAGGTGGCGTGGGACACGTGAGTAGGTGAGTAGGTTGCAAAATCACTTCCCACCGGTCTTTGTATAACCATAGCAGGAGCTGTGTCGAGCTTGTTCTTGGTGCGAGCTGAACTTTGCCAGTGCTGTCCCTTTTCTCCAATTCTGCTTGTGGTGTTCATGGACAGGATCTCAAGCTGCAGTCGTGGAGAGAAGGTGTCTGGTTTGGGATCTGTAGGGTCTCCTCTCTGCTTTATGCTGATGATGTGGTTCTGTTGGTGTTTTCGTGCCAAGACCTTCAGCGTGCACTTGGGCGGTTCACATCCAAGTGTGTAGCAGCTGAGATGAGTTTTAAGTTTCTGTGTCTTGGTCATGAGTGAGAAGAAAAGGTTTACTTGAAAAGGACAGACCAAGAAATTGCTGGAGGGGTTGTGTCTGGGAAGGCCTCGGGGTCCCCCAGGACAAGCTGGGGAGAGGGATGTCTGGGTTTCTCTCCTGGACGTATGGATGAGCGGTAGAAGTTGGAGTTGAATATTTTAATAGCATTAAATTTACAAAAGCCCAAATTCAAAACACCCATTTCCTCACTGAACTGAATATTTGAAGTATAAAAGGTTAAAATGGCACAAAATGTAAGAAAGCCGTTATATTGCAAAAAGCATATGTGGAAAAATATCCACTCAATAATTTATTAACCATCATTAAAGAAGGAGGTGGTTTTTAACACTGCTGATTCTGCAGCAAGTAAAACTGATTAGAAAAGGTTGTGCGTCTGTATTTAACTTTAAAAGTGACAAAACTTTTGACCCCATTAGTTTTTTTGGCTATTTTTCATTATAACATCCTCTTCCTTATCATGAATCGCTGTGTTTTCAGAGCCGGCCTGGTCATTTTGGCTGCAGCCTGGCACCAGTCGGACACTCCCTGTCTGGCCTACTTTTGCCTGATCACCCTGCAGGACAGGGGAGCCACCATCTTTGAGCAGTTTACTGTCGAGGTGACAAAGTACAGCTGTCTATTTCAGGTCAGTCCTCCTCAGACTTCTAACCCATTTTGGTTTGAGTAATGATCCACAATCTCTCCTGATGCATGTTCAGTAATCTGGGTAGATAAATCTAACAAGGATGAGTCAGGTCTTCTGGACAGATTCTTCAGAAGACAAAGAGAGAGGAGTAAAGGAGGTCATCTTTGTGAAAAGAAAACCGTCCATCATTAAACAGGGGCGGAGCCTCCGTGTTCAACTGTCCCCCTCTAACAATGCTGTTATTGCTGGTATCACTCAGCCCTCTGTGAACAGTAAACAGCCATCAGTGTGCTAATGATCCATTGTTAGGCTGATGGTCCTTCTTGAGCATGTGATCAGCTGGTTTTGGTTGTCAGCAGAAAACTGGTTGATCCACTCTGAGAAGGTGCTATTTAAGAGACTGAGCTGAATACAGCACCTCAGACTGAGGAAGTCTCTTGGATGAGAGACGAAACGTTTCAACAAGAAGAATCTGTCCAGAGGACCTGACTCAACCTTGTTAGATCCACAGTCTCGTTTACTGGATCCATAATGAGGATGGCTTCATTTATTTTACGCCTTTAGACATTTCTCTGTTTATCTGTCCGACTGAGGGAAAGATTTCATCATCTCTGCCACAACAGATAAAAAAAAGAGGAAATAATTTAGGAATTTAATTTGTGTCTCCCCTCACAGAAAAGTAAATGAAAAAACAGTTCTGGGATTTTTTTGGTGGGTGTTTTTTTTTAAATTGTTGTTTGTTTTCTGAATCACTAGGTCTAATCAGTTTCCACAAAGAATGACTACTATTTCCCACTGCCCAAAAGCAAAAATCAAAGATGATGATTTTGCATGTGTCTGCGTATAATCCAGTCAGGTTTATCAATATTAAGCAAAGATTTGGTGTGGGAGTAGCTGAGAGTCATCCAAAATGCATGTTTTGGGCGGTAATAAAGCAATTCAATTTAGTTTATTTATATAGCACCAAGTTACAACAGAAGTCATCTCAGAACACTGAACAGAAACATTCATATACATTAAAAAAGCCAATTAGTAAAAGTTCTCTATCTATGGAAGCAGCAGATTGTGTTGAATCTTCACTTCATCACAGTCTCTCATCCTGAGCAAGCACAAAGGAGACAGTGGAAAGGAAAAACTCCCTTTAACAGGAAGAAACCTCCAGCAGAACCAGGCTCAGGACGAGCGGCCGTCTGCTTCGACCGGCTGTTTGAGAGGACAGGAAGGAGAGACAGACGAACACAGAACGACAGGTCCAGATTCAAGGTTCTTTATTTGTCATTCGCACCACATGTGGTGGAATTAAATTGTTTACACAGGGTCCCAGTTACATCCAACAATAGTATAAAATGTATTAAAAAAAAACAGTAATATATGAACTAAAAATACAGTAAGTATAAAAACAGTACGGTGAACAGCAGCACGAACATGAGTCTGTGTGAGCAGATGTACTTACTAAAGGAGGAAAGAAACCCAACAAGGATTAAGGTTAAGGTTACAAATAATTACAAATCTAAAATGGGTAGAGTAAGTAAAGACAGCAGCAGAGTGAAGAAATGTGGTCAGTTTGTCCTCCAGCAGTCTAAGCCTATAGCAGCATAACTAAGGGACAGCTCAGGAAACCCAAGCTGACCCTAACTATAGGATTTATCAAAATAAAAAGTCTTTAGCCCAGTCTTCAAACTGGACAATGTGTCAGTCTCACAGACAGAAACTGGAAGTTGGTTCCACCAGAGAGGAGCCTGAGAACTGAAAGATCTGCCTCCCATTCTGCTTCTGGAAACTCTAGGAACCGCAAGTAAACCTGCAGTCTGAGAGCGAAGTGCTCTGTTAGGAAAATATGGAACAATAAGATCTCTAATATAAGATGGAGCCAGGTTGTTGAGAGTGTTAGAAATCGTTAGATTACACATCATTACTGTTTAGAAATTTGCCATTCACTATTTGGAGTCAGTTCTGTCTCAGTCAGCAAAATATCTCATGAACCTCTGAATTTTAATGAAGCTATCAAAGTAATATTATAATTTAAAATATTTGTCCATCTGCAACTGATTAATTGTTTAAGTCAAGCCATTTTAGGACGGCTGCCACAGCCAACTGATCCTATAAAACACAATAATGGCTATAAAACTGTCAGTTTTATTGATATTGTGTCCATTTGTTGTGGTTGTAGCCGAGAGTCATCTTCAGCACAACTCAATGTTGCATTGTAACATTTTTCATTTGATAAATCTCCCAGATGGAAGTGAAACATCTTCAGCTTCAGAATAAATGTCCACTTGTTTTTGCATTTTAACCTTTTTTTTTGGAGACATCTTCTAGTATCACCCAAGATCACTCGGTGCTATTTTCAAGGTTTAATCAAAACAGATGCAACTCTTATCATTTCTCAAGATTATCTCAGTCTAAAACTCTAGCATAAAAGAAGAAGTGCAATAAGCATTCCTTCAGGGGATATTTTAATTTTCATTGTTGATCTGTATTTTGGAAAGATGGATGTTAAAATGTTGTTAGCTCTAGAATGCGCTGTATGTGAAAGGTTTGATGATGGCGTGTATTTCTCCGTATCAATTCCTCAGAGCGAGGAGGCCCTGCAGGCTACCCGCTTTGTGTTGCCCTGGTCCCCTGGCTCCACCGCCTTTCTGTACAACGAGGAGCTGGTGTTCGTCTGCTCAACGGGCACCAGCAGGGGAGCGTTGCCAGACGAGAAAATCAGTTTCAACTCACCAGGTGAGAGTGAGTCCTGTGCTTTATATCCAGCTCATTTAGTCAATGATGGTGTTCTCATTCATAGCATTTATTTCTCTGTCTCACGATGGGAACCCCCCCCGCATATTCCTCAGAAACATTTATCTCAGTACGCCCATCCTGACTGGCTGGTGATTGCGACGCCTGCGTCACCTACTCTTTTAGTTTTCAGTACGACACGTCACTGTTCAAAAACCTTTTGCTTCCAGGCATATTTTACTCTTTTAGCAAGCTAGCTTAGCTGTCCGTAGACAGGAGCTATTTCAGCTAACTTTCCATCGACAGGCACTAGCTGCTGTAGCTTCAGCCCTCACCATAGTCTGGAGCACCTATCACCTTTGAGGATGATTTTCTGTGTTAACACACCGGCCCATATATGGTCCCTCTGCGTATTCCTCAGAAGACGACAAAAGACAACTGATGTGTCACTGTTGACTTGTGTGCGTTCAGGCGATGGTGTCCGTGGAGGAGGCTGCTGCGCCAACCTGCCCGTGCTTTTCTCCCAGAACAGCGGCCTGGTGGCGGTAGTGGCCAGAGAGAGTGCCTCCATCCTGCCAGAGACCATGGAGGACTCGTTGTGCTCGTCGCTGGCTGCAGCCCCTGAGGTAAAGCAGCCAGAGCAGCAGCTGGAACACAAACCTTTATTTCAGTAATTCCTTTCAAAAAGTGAAACTTATATATTATATTCATTCATTACACACAGACTGATATTTTTCAAATGTTTATTTCTTTTAATAAACTTCCTGCTTCCTGCTGCTGAACAACTTTATGGAGATGCAGATTTAATTTTCCAGCAGGACTTGACACCTGCACACAGTGCCAAAGATACCTGTACCTGGTTTAAGGACCATGGTATCCATGTTTTTATTTGGCCAGCAAACTCACCTGACCTTAACCTCATAGAAAATCCATGGGGTTATTGTGAAGAGGAAGATGTGATACACCAGATACAACAATTCAGAAGAGCTGAAGGCCACGATCAGAACACCTGAGCAGCAGAGCCACAGACTGATGACTCCACGCCATGACACGTTGCTGCAGTAATCCAGACAAAATGACCCCCACCTAAGTATTGATGCTGTACATGCTCATACTTTTCAGTTGGCCAATATTTCTAAAAATACTTTTTTTTATTGGTCTTAAGTAATTTTCTAATTTTATGAGATCCTGAATTTGGGGTTTTCATTAGTTGTCAGTTATAATCATCAACATTAAAAGAAATAAACATTTGAAATATATCAGTCTGTGTGTAATGAATGAATATAATATACAAGTTTCACTTTTTGAATGGAATTACTGAAATAAATCAACTTTTTCCACCATGTTCTAATTTTATGACCAGCACCTGTAAATAAGAATGTAACACAATGTTGGGAGAAACCGGTCCGATCCTGTTCTGCTCACGGTTTGTGGAGCAGCTTGATGGTGGAGTTCATCCCTACTGATGAACCATGTTCACAAACGGTCCACACTTTGAAAAGCCAACACCCTAAAAGGAATAAACTAAAAACATTGTGTGATCATTCTCTTGATTTCAGGTACGTTGTGCAACATTTTTAATTCTTGTGTTTAAGGTTTCTACCATGGAGACTTCAACCAGAGCGGAGCCTGTAGCCCAGGAGGACAAGACCAAACTGCTCAAGTCTGCCTTCCTGCAGTTCTGCCGGTACGTTGCAGGAATACTTCAGATCCTTTTGAGCAACAAGTTGCACTTCAGAGAGTTTGGTCCTTATATCAGCATGTCTTGTTTTGTTTTACAAGGTTGGAACTTGGTGTTAATAAGTGCTCTTTCCTGCTATAGTTTTAAACTAGGATAATTTAAAACTATAGCCATTTGGTTTAAACTACATCAAAATGTAGGTTAATATATGAAACGCTGGCTGACTTTAAGTCATTATTTTCTTTGTAAGGTCAGTTAGGTGTGGATCTGTCAAACTAACCTCTTTGATCATTAAAGGGTTGGCTCCAAGAGATATTCAGATGAAGAGCTCTATTGAAAGAGTTCTTTTTGACGGCTTCATGAGGATGATTCCAGTGGTTCATGAGATATTTTGCTAACAGAAAACAAACATGCACAGAGACGAGGGCAAAGGCAATATTGCCCGTTTGTTTGCTTTTCATAGCAGGTGATAAAAATATTTGTAACGGTTGATTTATATTTTCCTGAATTGTTTTAAATGTTGATATTCTGTAAAAGTGTTTAACTTCTTTTAAAACACGACTGCAATAACTAATAATTCAGTTTGTTCCTTCTTTGTCAGTAACGACCTGCTGGGAGCTCAGGCGGTCACAGACGAGCTCTTCCCAGCTGACAGCGATGGAGAGGAGGGAGCTGAGCTGGACAGCATTGTGACTCAGATCAACCTGGAGCTGGTGGATGATTACCCAGCCTCAGACCCACGCTGGGCCGAGTCCATCCCAGAGGGTGAGGAGACGCTGGACTGGAGTTACTTACAGCTCTCCAAAGCTCGAAACATCATCAAGAGCTAATTAGAACATAAAACAAGGTCATGTGGATGACAGGGGATGAAGTTCAGACACGTCCGTCTGAATCTTCATCCTACAGAGCTGATCTGCCGTTTATTATTGTCTCCCATCGCGAGGTGAAGAGGGGGATTTGGAAACGCCCTCTGTCCATCCATCCGTCCGTGCAAGTTGCGATCAGGATAACGTGAAAAACAAGTGACGTGGCGACTTCCATTTTGCTGTGTGGCAGCATCTAGGCTAGGGCTGAACGATTTTATAAAATATTCTCATTGTGATATTATACCTGAGTATTGCGATTTAATATTCAATTATATTTCAATGTCTTCTTCTCGTGTATTTTTCAACGAACACGAGCAATAAATCTGTTTCAGTTGCAAAAAAAACTCCACTGTTTTCAGCTCCGCTGCAACTCTTGTTTCTGCATTTCTTGTGTAGCTCCAGGACAGCAGCTTGGCTAAAATGTGTGCGCGAGGACATCCTGCAATGCTTCTCCGTTGAGTTTACCAAAGCCGTAAACCCAGGCCTGGTCACTGTATCAGTGGGCATCATGTCTGTCGCTGTGAACTCCGTTATTGCTCCGTGCCGTTTCGAATTATGTTCATACGGAGGAAACCTTGGAGCAGTTCGGTCAGTGATCCCTGTCGGCTGATACTTTGATGACTTGAAGTTGGAGCACTGGTCGTTGACATTCTAGCCATGCAACTATTGTAAATGGCTTTGTGGTGTTTTTTTAAGTGATAAAGATTTGTGGTGTTACCTCGACAAGGCAGGTTCTGCACATGTCGTTGAGCAGCATCCTCTTTCTTTTAGACAAAATAATCCAAACGACGGACGTGCTGCTCCTCGTTGGTGCCAAACTTTCAGGTGTGTCAGCTTCTGTCGAGCCTGACGCCATTGTGCGACCGGTTAAAGCGCAGTGCTGACTTCTCCCACTCCCTGCTCCGCTCACTCACTCACGAGTGACGTAACCAGATCATGTGACCAGTCAAATCACAGCCTTTATGATTAGAAAATTGTGTTCTATCATATTGCAATATTATTGCAAATTCAATTATTAATTGTTCATTCCTAATCTAAGCATAAGAAAAGTTCCTTTAAAATAAAACCTATGTGTGTGTATATATGTATATGTGTATATATAAATATAAATATATACACACACAGTGTGTGTACGTATTTCAAGAGAAATAAGAGCAACCTTTGCTAAATTTCAAACTTTGTTGCAAGAGGTCTAATTATTTAACTAAAACTAACATTTCAAAACTGTTTTCATTTTGTCATTACGGCACTTAGTGTCGATTATTGAGGGAGAACATTTTTAATTTAAATGATCGTAGCCTTAACTTTACAGAGAGAGAAAAAGCAAACTGAGATTTAATACTTCCTCAGGCCAATATAAATAAATAATTTTAAAGTCCATTTGTCAGCAGTCAGAAACTTCTAATGAGCCATAAATTGATTCTCTTAAAACAGGCAGATTCATTCATGTATGAATTAATGTGATTTTTTTCTTTGTTTCAGAGAGTGCTGGATTTCTTCTGACATCCCTCATCATCCTCCACCAACTGGAAGACAAGATGAAGGCCCATGGCTGCTTTATGGACTTTCTGCTTCAGGTAACGACAGCCCAGCAGCTGCAGCGTACACTCAGCGTCAGCTTAGTTCAGGATGTCTGCTTCATGCTGGAAACTAAACTAACTCACCAAATTAATTACCGATACCTTCCCTCGTATGTTTCAAAGTTTCAAACATCTTATAAAATTATTTCAGCCTGTCAGGAAAGGACTCGTGACGCGCACTTTTACGATAAAGTGCAGTTTGGTTTTACAGCGTTCTTTTCAGACTGTCTCTACATGCTCCTACAGGCAAACTTAGTTTAGAATAGACATAATTTTTACTTTGTAAGTCCTGGGCATCACTTAATGAAAGTAAATAAAGTCTAACACGTGTTGTTATGACTTATTTTAATAACCATTCTTCTTAAGGTGGGTCTGTTGGACCGGCTCAGCCAGGTGACTGTGCGGTCGTCTGTCATGGCAACTCGCCTGCTGCTGTGTGAGCACGCTGAGAAGCTGCAGGCAGCCGTGGTTCTGAAGAACTACCACAGCAAACAGACGGAGCTGGTTCACCGGGCCATCAGCGCGGCGCTTCATAGGAGCAGCACCCCCGTGCCGCCCAGCCTCACGGCAGCTGATGTCTTTTTCAGAGAGGTGTGTGTTCGTGTCAGTCCCGTGTGAAGACACAGCGTTGGAAGGTTGTTTAACTGATGTTCTGCTTCTCCCCCAGGTGTCCCAGATCTCCTCTGTGTTTGACTGTCTACTGGAAGAAGAGGAGCGCAGTCTAAAAGAGAACCCCGTGGACTCTGTGCAGTGGGCTGAGGTGGTTCTCACGGTTAACAACATCATTAAGGTAAAATCACTGTTTGACATGCGCGACTCGAACAGGAAGACAAACCAACACAGGAGTACTGTGAAACTGGAGTATTGTATGTGTGTGTGCAGGACATGCTTCAGGCTGCCGTTCAGTACAGAGAAACCAAAGCCTCCATGTACAGACCTTCTGAAAATGCACCTGCAGAGCCTGAGTATATCCCTTGGACAGGTAACGTTCCTTCATCTTCCACAAGATCTAAAGCACATCTGTTTTTCTTGATTGAATTCTGTTCAGACGAACTTCAGGATTAGAACAAATGAATAATAAATCTGTGTTCACCTCTTCCTTCAGCATCTGGCGGTGTTGGAGGCGTTCGCACCATCATTTCCCGCCAACACGATGTCATCCTAGGCTCCGTTTACCCACACGCCGACTCAGAGTTACGCAGTACTCTCTGTGAGCAGCTGGTAGCACTGCTGGACATATACCTGGGTGGATACGTGGCCCAGCTGACCTCCCTACAAAAGCAGAGGTCCTCGGGGCCCCAACAGGAGCGCTACAACAGTCTCGAGATGGAGTACAGCCAACGGCGCTCAGAGCTGCTCACGCCGCTGTGTAAGTGGACTGAACGGCTCTGAGAGACGGCGTGAGACTTTGGAAAAAACCGTTGATGTTGGTTTACAGGGTGATCTGCTTCTGACTGCATTTGTTTTTAGTTTACAGCTATCAAGATCAGTAAAGTACACAGATTTTAATCTGTTGGTTTAGGTGAAGTTTGTGGAATTGGTTTGACCTGGTTGCCTTCATACAGTAATTAAAGTGGAAGACTTTAATTCATTCAACCTTTATTTACACAGGTTAGTCTCACTGAGACACAGAGAGACCTGTTTTTATCAAAGAACACAGATGAGGTACACAGAACAATAGACAATCATATAAAGAGCATATAAAATTAAAACGTAAATGGAAGAAATTATATAAAAAAATGAAACAAAAAAAACTGCTACATTATAAAGCGACTTAAAATACTAAAAACAGGAACATGTCTGCATTTGCTGTTGCCATGAACTTAGCAGTTGTTTGAAAGCACTTAAAGAGGTCAAGGTCGAGAGCTTCAGATCTTTTTGCAAGGTGTTGCAGGATAAGAGAAGGCCCTTTGAGCTAGGGCTGGGGGGGGGGGGGGTGTCAAATATACTCGATGTATCGCGAGATTTTCAGGTTACGATGGTTAAAATGGCTCTAATGCAACCATCGCGAGTATTATTAGACTTGAAAATCAGTGTGCAGTAGTTATTTTTCTCCCGTCTGCGCCGCCAACTGCACGTGGCCCCTCACGCACGTGCTTCCTGCTTCTCCAGGTGGGCGGGAGTTTAACACAACAAATAAACACGGGAGATATGAAGAGCAGCTTCGCTACGGAGCAAAAAATGAAAACAGTGGCTGTTATTTGGAGATGGTTTGGATTTAAATTATCAGATGAGCAGCAGAAAAATGTTTTCTGTAGACAAAGCTGAAAAAAGTCCCTACAAAGGTCAGAACTACGAATCTTTTTCACCATTAAAACAGTGCTATAAGTTGTAAGCTGCAGCTCCGGCTGTGTTTTCATCCTCCTTCCCTGAAACAAACCACAGTCTGAAACTCATTTAGCCGTGCTGTGCCTCATGAGAGGAGCAGTGAGAGGTGGTGCCACTTTAATAAAGCAGCAGCTTATCATGTCACTACAGACAGTGCTTATTGGCTAACGTCCTAAAGTTAGCCGTCTGTTAGCACCGTGTCTTTAGCGATATGACAAACTGCTGATTTATTAATGTGGCGCTGCCTCACACTGTAAGACTTGAAAATCTGTGCACAGTAGTTCTGCTTGATCTGCCCGTCCAGCTTCACGCAGCCCCTCCTCCTCCCTCATGTGCTGCTTCACACACCAACATCGTGAAGGCGGAGCAGCTGAAGAGGAATATTATTTAATATATGTAAATAGATTATTTTTTATACATTTATTTTGTAGTTACAGCTGTTTGTTCATAAATATGCCTGTGTGACAATTGGGACAAAGCTTTGACTCAGAAATATATTTTTATTACTTTATGGAAATAAAAAAACATCCATTCAACCTTTATTTACACAGGTTTAACAAAAACAGCTACATTGTAAAATAATGTAAAATTCTAAAAACAGGAACATGACTGCGTTGGTTTTTACCTTGAACTTAGCAGATGTTGGAACGTCGAAATATATATCGCAATTTTTCTTAAAAATGTTGCAATATTAATTTTGGTTCACATCGCCCAGCGCTGCTCTGAGCGTGCACCGAGTGCACACTTTCATTAAACATCACAAACTTGAGCTGACGGCCTCAGAGTCTGAACTTGTTTCCTGCCTGCTTGGAAATGATGCGTCTGTGATGTTTCTGTTTTGCAGTGGAGCTTGGACAGTACCAGTGGGTGGCAGCGCTAGCTGAGAAGTACTGTGACTTTGACATCCTGGTTCAGATGTGTGAGCAGAGCGACAACCAGAACCGCCTGCAGCACTACATGGCAAAGTTTGCTGAGCAGGTACGCCGTCGCAGATTCTGCTGTGTCCAGTGGAGGCGTTCTTCTGAATCACCGTTGAAGGTTCATTCAGAACGAGCCCGTGCCGACTGTAAAGATTCGAGCAAAGTTTAGTTGGGCTAAATAAATACTTAAAGATTATTTTTCAGTTCTAAGGGTTCATGAATCAGAGCATAGTAAATTAAAAGTCTACCATTATTTGAAGGACTGCGTATTTTCCACCGCCTGATTCAAGTTTTAGACAAAGTTAATGTTGAGACATGAAGGAGACTTTGGTGCAGCCCTGAAAGTAGCATTATGCACAATTCCTTGCAGACTTTGCCAGTATTTTTGTGATGTGTTAGCTCTTGGAGTTTGTGTTGTACACGATGCTCAGCTTCAACCACACCAGCATGTATCCCAGTATTTGTAAACTTGGCAGCGATATAGATGATTCTTCTCAAGTCAGTTTGCTGTGACACCTGCCTTTAATTGGGTTGACTTTCAAAACTGAGTCAGCGTACAGGCATTACTTTCCGAGAGTTTTATTGGTGGTTCATGAGATATTTTGCTAACGGTGCAGACGAACACGCACACAAATGGGCCCAAACTTATTTGTGCTCCTACAGTAGGTACGGTAGGTGATTAAAAATGAGCAGCTGCTTCACAGACTCCAGTATGAAGAATAAACTTGAGATTTTAGAAGTAAAAAATGTGTTTGATGCTTTAATTACTACTATGTATTCATGGGTGCCTGAATATGTAATAAAATGAACATGCATGAGCATAAATGTGAATATTTCAAGGGCAAACAATGGTCCCACTAACTGTATGCTCAGTTGGTGTCGTGGATATTATCATGCACTTGTCTGTACAAAACCCTCGTTCAGATTATTTGTCCTTAGGGCGGCTGTGGCTGAGTGGTTAGAGCATCCTCCAATGGGAGAGTTGGGGGTTCAATTCCACCAGCAGTCACATGCTGAAGTGTCCCTGGGCAACACTCTGAACCCCTCGTTGCCTCCGATGTGTGTCCATCAGTGTATGAATGTGATAAAGCTCTGATTAGTCTCTGTATAGTTCTAGTAGAGCGATGTACGAATGAGTGAGGCACAGATTGTTGTAAAGAGCTTTGAGTAAGTGGGTAAGATAGAAAGAGCTGTATAATAAGTACAGTCCATTTAAGTATAAATCGCTGTATTGAATAGGGCACGTATCCTTTTTATTGCTTTTTGTACAAAGCAGGGACTGCTTACAGTTCGGACTGGATGATTGACAGTAGCTGTGTGTGACTTTAAATTATTTTGATTGTGAAGTTGTTACACAGTAAATCCTACTTTACTGGACGTGGCCTGCTGTCTGTCGTGACGTCCCTAACTACTACAGAATACATTTTTTGAGAAGACTCCTTGCAATTGAAACATTTTTTATGTCTGCACATTTGAGTTACAAGCTAAACACTAATGAGGTGTTATTTCTGTCTAAACGAACCAGTTTGAACCGTTTAAAGGTGTCACATCATGATGCTCTGTCTCATACGATTGTTACTCCGCCTCAAAAGCATCCCAGTATGTGGTAAATATTAAATTAAAAAAAGTCATGGACTTTAAAAGCGGAGTATAATATAAGAACTGTACCAGACTTCATTCTCAGACTGGCTCAGTCCAAGCTTCAGAAACTTGCTGTTTAGACTAAAAGATTTAAAGTTTCAAAATCCAAATCCTAACCAGAGCATTTACATGTTTTTAAACAAACTGTCCTCGTCTCTTCTTTTGTTGTAGAACTTTGCTGACTTCCTGTTTCGCTGGTACATGGAGAAGGGGAAGAGGGGGAAGCTGCTGTCTCAGCCGGCTGCTCAGCATCAGCAGCTGGACAGCTTCCTGCAGGCGCACCAACACCTGAGCTGGCTGCACCACATCCACGTCCATAACTACGAAAGTGTACGCGCACACACGCAGCTCTTATAACACCGTCCTCTTTGTTGTGTTAAACCATCAACACCCCTCACCAGGTTGGAATTCTATGTGGAAGTATGTTTTATTTATTAAAATCTCTTCCAACCTTTGTTCAACCAAAGGAAAGAGTCGCTGAAGTGTAAGATTTAATTTACGAGAGCGTCCTGGCCAAAGCAGCAGCACAAAAACACAACAACGGTTTAAAACGTATAACAATATACACAAAATAATTAAACTAGAAGAGCTGGGGACTAAAAAGGTAAGCCATCAGATGTAGTTGTGTCAGAAGGTTATAGATTTAAGCTTTTCTAAAGTAACCAGCTCACTTAACTTGGTGATTAGTTAATAACACAAAAAGTTAGTTTCCAGGAGTTGCTTCTTTCTATCTGCGTAGTGACTCGTTAAAAATAGTCTTGTCAGGAGTATTATGTAACAGTAAGTTTGATTTTAAAGTCAGTTATTGATAAAAATGAAATGAGCCACATGTGCTTTCTGCTGCTGTACTACAGAAATACTTACTATAACGTAGTCTTGTTGCGTATAAACATGTATAAACTCCAGCTGTTGATGTAAATCGTCAGTAATGTAAGAAGGACGTGTGCAGGCCCACAGGACTCTGGACAGCCAGGCCAACATGGAGACCCGTTACTTTGTGAAGAAGAAGACGCTGCTGGCTCTCAGTAAACTGACGGCGCTGGCCTCAGACCTGCCCGAGGACGAGCTCACCAAACAAGTCAACGGTAAAACAAGTTTTCTCGAGACAGAAACATCTTCGCGCTGCATGAACGTTTTTAAATCAAGTTTTTATTTTCCAGTGTCTCAGCTGTAAGTTTTATACTGGGTCGTTCACTTTGTTCCATCCGTCTTTACCCACTTCTTCCTTTCTGGGTCACTGGTGTTCATGTCCAGCCATCACTGTGCAGGAGGTGGGAGACACCTGGACAGGCCTCCAGTCCATCACAGGGACACGGAGACAAACGAGACAAACAACATTCACTCTCTCACTCACACCTAGGGACCGTTGTGCTAATATTAAAAAAGATGTGTAAACATTTAGAATAAGACGGATGTTTGTCGACACTTTGAGTGTTAAACTAAAGCAGTCCTTCTCAAATAGTGGGGCGCGTCCCCTGGGGGGGGCCCGGGGCAATGCCAGCGGGGGCTCATGTGACCCGGGGAACATGCTTTTTTTGCCACAGGGAGTAGTTTGGGTTTTTTTTCTCGTGTGTTCCAGCTGTTTGCTCGTATCTCTCTGACTCACCATAAAGTTATGAACAAATAACTTGTTGTTGCTGGTGAAGATTCTCAGTCATCCAGGACATGATGAATTCAAAAAGCGTTCAATACAAAAACAACTGGACTTTATTTGTAACAGAAGACGTTTCGCTACTCATCCGAGGAGCTTTCTCAATTCAAAGAGCAGAGAGAGAGAGATACAGGTTATAAGACTGAGTGAGATAAGACACACACACACATAAGACACACACACACATACTGTATATGTAGATTGGCAGTTCACACCTAAAAACCTAAACAGTAGGTCTTTGTTCCTCTAATTCACAGTCGAGGCCCCTCTGTTCCCATCAGGTGTGAAAACCGGCTGGGGATCTGTTTTAAAGTAAACATATAATGCAACTTTAAAACAGATCCCCAGCCGGACCACTTGTATCAACACACATCTGGCAGTCTGAACAGTCCCCATCGCTGACCCCCTATGACCTCACAAAGGTAGCTAAACACATGTCTCCGGTTAAAAAACTAATTCAGCTCAGCTGATTAAAGATAATTAAACAGATATCCTTGGGAATATGTAGAAAATATTCCCTTTTTTTCCTTTGGTCAAAAGCATTTAATGAACTGTTTATTAGAATTCCTATTAAGAAAAAGATGAGTTTACTTCAGGATTTTATTAATCAGTGGATTACAAGGCGTTGCATGGTGAGTTTCTCTTTGCTTTAAAATTTGTTTTAATTGATTTAGAGCTGGACGGATGGACCTACATCCATCCGTCCATCCATCCATCCATCCGGTCATGTGGTATACGTAGTAAACCAATATCGTGTGTGTAACAACAGACAGGAACAATCTTGTGAATTTTGTTAGCGGACTCAAAGTTGGTGAAACCTAATTTAGCGAAATCTAATTGTGCTAACGGTTTCCAAAATGAGCAAAAACACTAATCCTTTAATGAAAAATTTGTTTTTCTATTAGCTGTTGATTAGTGGAACGGTGCCCACCACTGACTGACTGACTCACTGACTGTGACTGACTGACTCACTGACTGACTCACTGACTGACTCACTGACTGTGACTGACTGACTCACTGACTGACTGACTCGCTGACTGTGACTGACTGTGACTCACTGACTGTGACTGACTCACTGACTGACTCACTGACTTACTGTGACTGACTGACTGACTGTGACTGACTCACTGACTGACTCACTGACTGTGACTGACTGACTGACTGACTGTGACTGACTCACTGACTGACTCACTGACTTACTGTGACTGACTGACTGACTGTGACTGACTCACTGACTGATTCACTGACTGTGACTGACTCACTGACTGACTGACTGTGACTGACTCACTGACTGACTGTGACTGACTGACTGTGACTCACTGACTGTGACTGACTGACTCGCTGACTGTGACTGACTGACTGTGACTCACTGACTGTGACTGACTCATTGACTGACTCACTGACTTACTGTGACTGACTGACTGACTGTGACTGACTCACTGACTGTGACTGACTCACTGACTGACTGTGACTGACTCACTGACTGACTCACTGACTGACTGTGACTGACTGACTGTGACTGGCTCAGTGACTGACTGACTGACTGACTGACTCACTGACTGACTGACTGACTGTGACTGACTGTGACTGACTGACTGACTCACTGACTGACTCACTGACTGACTCACTGACTGACTGACTGACTGACTGGCTGTGACTGACTGACTGTGACTGACTGACTGACTCACTGACTGACTGACTGACTCACTGACTGACTCACTGACTCACTGACTGACTGTGACTGAATGACTGACTGTTTCTTACACAGTAGTCCCTCGTTTCTTGCAGGGGATCTGCACCCTGAAGCCCTATGAGTAGTGAAAACCACGAAGTAGGAATAGTAGTACAAGTAGTAGTTTATTTTAGTGAATATATATATATATATATATATATATATATATATATATATATATATATACAGGTCCTTCTCAAAAAATTAGCATATTGTGATAAAGGTCATTATTTTCCATAATGTAATGATAAAAATGAAACTTTCATATATTTCAGATTCATTGCACACCAACTGAAATATTTCAGGTCTTTAATTGTTTTAATACTGATGATTATGGCATACAGCTCATGAAAACCCAAAATGCCTGTCCCAAAAAATTAGCATATTTCATCCCACCAATGAAAGACAAGTGTTTTTAATATAAAAAACACCAACCTTCAAATAATCATGTTCAGTTATGCACTCAATACTTGGTCGGGAATCCTTTTGCATGAATGACTTCTTCAATGCGGCGTGGCATGGAGGCAATCAGCCTGTGGCACTGCTGAGGTGTTATGGAGGCCCAGGAGGCTTCGATAGCAGCCTTAAGCTCATCCAGAGTGTTGGGTCTTGCGTCTCTCAACTTTCTCTTCACAATATCCCACAGGTTCTCTCTGGGGTTCAGGTCAGGAGAGTTGGCAGGCCAATTGAGCACAGTAATACCATGGTCAGTAAACCATTTACCAGTGGTTTTGGCACTGTGAGCAGGTGCCAGGTCGTGCTGAAAAATGAAATCTTCATCTCCATAAAGCTTTTCAGCAGATGGAAGCATGAAGTGCTCCAAAATCTCCTGATAGCTGCATTGACCCTGCCCTTGATAAAACACAGTGGACCAACACCAGCAGATGACATGACACCCCAGACCATCACTGACTGTGGGTGCTTCACACTGGACTTCTGGCATTTTGGCATTTCCTTCTCCCCAGTCTTCCTCCAGACTCTGGCACCTTGATTTCCGAATGACATGCAAAATTTGCTTTCATCCGAAAAAAGTACTTTGGACCACTGAGCAACAGTCCAGTGCTGCTTCTCTGTAGCCCAGGTCAGGTGCTTCTGCCACTGTTTCTGGTTCAAAAGTGGCTTGACCTGGGGAATGCAGCACCTGTAGCCCATTTCTTGCACACGCCTGTGCACGGTGGCTCTGGATGTTTCTACTCCAGACTCAGTCCACTGCTTCCGCAGGTCCCCCAAGGTCTGGAATCGGCCCTTCTCCACAATCCTCCTCAGGGTCCGGTCACCTCTTGTCGTTGTGCAGCGTTTTCTGCCACACTTTTCCCTTCCCACAGACTTCCCACTGAGGTGCCTTGATACAGCACTCTGGGAACAGCCTATTCGTTCAGCAATTTCTTTCTGTGTCTTACCCTCTTGCTTGAGGGTGTCAATGATGGCCTTCTGGACAGCAGTCAGGTCGGCAGTCTTACCCATGATTGCGGTTTTGAGTAATGAACAAGGCTGGGAGTTTTTAAAAGCCTTAGGAATCTTTTGCAGGTGTTTAGAGTTACGTCGTTGATTCAGATGGTTAGGTTCATAGCTTGTTTAAAGAACCTTTTCGTGATATGCTAATTTTTTGGGACAGGCATTTTGGGTTTTCATGAGCTGTATGTCATAATCATCAGTATTAAAACAATTAAAGACCTGAAATATTTCAGTTGGTGTGCAATGAATCTGAAATATATGAAAGTTTCATTTTTATCATTACATTATGGAAAATAATGACCTTTATCACAATATGCTAATTTTTTGAGAAGGACCTGTATATATATATATATATATATATATATATATATATATATATATAT